GCGCGAGGCAGTGCAGGAATCCAGAGGCCCTGATGATGCTCTGGGTGTTTCCCCTGTCAGAGCCGCTGGTCTGACCGCATGCCTTTCCCATTAGCGGCTGCGCAGGGAGCTCGGCGGCCCGGCACATGCACTCCAGCCCAGCCCCGGCCGGGCCCTGCTGTGGCTTCACAGCCCGGCTGCAGCTGCCTCCCAGGCTCGTCCCCACGTCCTGCAGCGTCGCTGCATCCGTCCTGCCCACGGTCCCTGGCACAGGGCCGCATGTCCATGTTCGTGCCAGCTGGGCGATCGGCACCGGCATCCGTGGGCAGCACCGTCCCGGCCACATTCCTGCCCCCGCAGCCCTCTGCCTGGGTGCCTCCATCCACCGTAACGTGGCTGTGCACCGTCGCTGCCACCCCCGCGCACACTTTGCCCCTCGAGGGCCACGCCGGCCTCAGTGCCCTGAGCGCATGGGGGGCCGGGCACCGTGAGAGGCGGGTCGGGTCCCCAGGGCACCGCAGGCGCATTCGGGACAGATGCACGGGCAAAGCTGCCAATGAGGGTAGGATAAACGCGAGGTCGGCACCGGGCAGAGGCTGACAGGTTGTTCCAGGCAAGCGGAGGTTGTGCCTGGCATCGCTCCCGCACAGGCTGGCTCCTGGGAAGCGGCTGGGCCCTGGGGAGGAGAGGAGTAAAGATCAACCTCCCCCCCCACCCCGGATCAGAGGTTCCCCCTCCCGCTCCTGGCTTAGGCTGCAGCCCTCATTCCCACTGTCCCTCTGGCTGCGCTGGCGTCGGGCGAGGGTCAGCGGCCCCATCCCTCCGGGGGGACACTTTGCAGCCACAGACCCGGCATCGGGGCAGGGCCCCTCGGGGAGGTTGCCCGTCCTTCCCTGGCTCACAGCCGCGCTTCCCTGTCCCGCAGGCATCGTCGAGATCCGGTCGGTGCGTGTCGGCGTCGTGGCCATCCGGGCAGTGCACACCGGCTTCTACCTGGCCATGAACAAGCAGGGGAGGCTCTACGGGTCGGTAGGTCGGACGCTGCCTCCCGGGAGGGACCGGACCGGGGTCAGAGGCGCAGGGCAGAGCTGGAACAGGGGGTCCCAAATCCACCGGGACTGGTGCCCAGGAGCGGGCTCCTGGTTTCCCACGCCCTGACCTGCTCCCCAGCGGGGGACTGCACCCACAGAGCCCCTCTGCCCTCCAGGGACCGGGGAGGAGCCGGGGTCCTGCCCTGCCCCACTCTCGGGGTCTGACCCCGCCGGAGCAGGGCGACGACGGGCCCTGGCTGAGCGCAGCCGCCCCTCACCCCCTTCCCTCTCCTGCCAGAAGGAGTTCAGCCCCAACTGCAAGTTCATGGAGCGCATTGAGGAGAACGGCTACAACACCTACGCGTCGCTGCGCTGGCGGCACCGGGGCCGCCCCATGTTCCTCTCGCTCAATAGCAAGGGCAGGCCGCAGCGAGGGGGCAAGACGCGCCGGCAGCACCTCTCCACCCACTTCCTCCCCATGCTCGTCAGCTGAGCCCCGTGGGCAGCTCCGGACCATCCTGTAGGAAAAAATGGAAAAAAGGGTTATTTTATTTATGTACATATCTATTTTTTTGCTATTTATTGTTTTATTTTTAAATGCATGGCGGAGGATGGATGCGGAAGGCAGATGCTCCAGACACAGCCTGCAGCCGCGCAGGGACACGGCTCTCCCCACTGTCCTGCCAAGGCAGAGCCGGCGCGGTGCAGCCTGGGGAGTGCGGCCACAGCATGCCAGGGCTGCCAACGTTGCGCCCCCACCCATGCAGCTCGGACAAGGCAGCCGTCGCTCTGCTAACGGCATCTCTGCAGGGGCTGGGACGGAGGCTGCGGGGCTGGGGCATAACAAATGCAAATACAAACAGTATTTGTCTTGTGTCAAAGCACCCGTGGCAATTAAAGCTGTGTTGGTGGTACGGAAGGGGGAGCGAGTCTTGGAGCTTTGATGGTGGGCTTGGCTCGGGCCGGGTGGGGTTGGGTCCCCTGGGGTTGCGGCTACAGCCACCAGCATCGTCCCTGCTGCTGCCAGTGGGGAGCCCAGTTGGTCCCCCACCGCATCCAGCTCCTCATCGACCCACACCTTCACCTGTGTGTGCGGGCAGAGAGGCACCCAACCCAAAACCTAACCTGCAGGAAAACACAGCGATGGTTGTTCAATGGCACAAAGGAGGGAGCAGGAAAAAGCAGCTGCCGGCGGGGGAGAGCTCAGACCCTGTGCTAGTGCCGGAGCAAAGCACACGCACATGCGACCCGCAACCAGAGTAGCGCAGCTCCAGGGAGGAGCATCCCCAGGGAGGTGCTAGGCTCTGTGCAAGGGATGCGGCCCTGGAGACCCAAAGGGACAAGGCATAGGGGGCAAGGGGGCGAGAGGGTCCCCGGTGCTGGAGCAAGAGCCCGGACACAGCCGAGTGTCCCACCGCGGCGTTGCAGTGGGCTCTGCGGGACCAGGTGCCAGGCAGCACCACAGGAGCTGGCCCGGACCCTCGGACAAACACAGCCCCAGGGCTGCCCCTGGCTGGGGGGAGCTGGGACGCTGCTCCCCACCCACGTGCAGACCCTGAGCCAGGACATCATGAGCTGAAGGGACCAGACCTGCTCTGGGGGTCCCATCCCCAGCGGGAGCACCTGGGCCACAGACTCCCACTTACGGGCATGGTGTCCAATCCACGCCCCGGACCAAGACGCGAGGTGCAATGGGGCAGCGAGCGCCCAGCCAGCTCCAACCTCCCCAGGCTGCAGCCAGTGCCTCCGGGCTGTTCCTGCCCCTCCTCAGCCCAGCTCCGCTCCATCCTCCCCAGCAGAGATGGAGCCGGGAAGGCAGCTGGTGGCAAGGACCAGCCCCTCGCCTGGAGGGGAGCACGGCCAGAAATAGCACCTGCGCCTCGGCCTCCCAGCCAGGGCACGTTCCTGTGCCGCTCTCCGCACCCGCCGTGGCGAGCCATCGCAGCCTGGTCACTTTGTCACGTCAGACGTGAGCCATCGCAGCCTGGTCACTTTGTCATGTCAGACGTGAGCGATGGCCCCAGCAAAAACCACCAAACTTGTTCCATTTCTTACCCAACCAGCTCCAAACGAGTCTGTGAGAAGGAACAGCCACCGTGTTAACTGTGTGGTGACTGCGGCGGGCACCGGCCCCGGCCGGGAGCCCCTGTCAGGCAGGTCAGCGGCAGCCACGCACCCACCATGGGCTTCGCTTTGCCCCCTCGAAACCCACCCCAAGCACTGCTCACACGTGAGAAATCGCCCCCCGAGGCCTGGGTGAGCTGGGAACCCCGCACCGCAGCAGCAGCTGAAATGTGGCAGGAGAAGGTTTTCCAGGTCTCCCGGGCTGCGTTTCGGTGACTAAACAGCAAAGCCTTCCCTCCGTGCCAGCCCAGCTGATGGACACACACAGGCTCAGCCGGGGACCTTCCTGCTGCCACCTGCCTCCCAAGCCCAGGATTCTGGTGGCAGAAGCTTCTGGTTCAACCTCCGGCAGAGGATGAGCTATTAACCCTGATATACCAGTCCTGAGATAAACCCTCATCCCGCAGGCATCCGCCCGCCGAGATGAAAGGCGCCGCTGGGCTGCCCTGGCTGCACTGGCAAAGCCAAGGAAGAAAAACATTCCAGGAGAGTTGCTCAGCGCCAGCCACGCGGCCCCGGCAGGCTTGGCAAAGGCTGCTTGCCATCCACATTTGGGACGTTTTCTCCAACGAACCTCCTCTTCTTTTATTCCAAAATGGCTTAAGAAACACCAAACAAGCCGCCTGCCTTCCCCCTCCTATGGGAGGCACAACCCTTCCCAGAAAGCTCTCGGGAGAAAGGGCCAGGTCCTCGGGTAAGGCTGCTTTGAAAGCAACACCAAAGCTCTGCTGGTGCCAGAACCTCGAATGCCTGGGGAGGCCAGCACCTTCCACAGCCACCCCCGGCCCGCTCACAGGCCCCCAAAAGCCGGAGAAGACGCAGGGAGCCTCCCAAGCCGTTGAACCCTCTGCCCATCCCACCCAGCAGCCCCCACAGGGGCAGGTTCCCCATCTACTGCTCTGGTGTCTGCCACAGCAAGGTCCCGACACGCGGCCTGGAGTGCACGGCGCCGTCAAACACCCGGTTAGCAGGTCAGGGAGACCCACTGACTGCCAGGCACCGTCACAAACACCCGGTTAGCGGGTCAGGGAGACCCGCTGACTGCCAGAAGTCCCTGCAACAGAAAGGGGCATCAGTTGACATCTGTCCCACGTCACCCGGGCCAGCGCTTCGGAGCCACGTGCCACCGCCTTGCTCCTCCTGCCAGCTCTGCACTGGGCTGTGCCGCAAAAGCCCAAGCAGGGCAGGAACCTCACCCCTCTCTCCACGCACACTCCTCTGAGGACATCACTTACCCCAGCGCGCAGCCCTGCCCCGTGCTCCTGACCCAGGCTTCTCCTGGAGCTGGCAGGGCTGCGCTGGAGATTCAGCATGACCAGACCAAAACCAAAGGCCCTCGGTGAGAGCACCAAGTGAACCCAGGTTTCTGTCCCTCTCGCGCCTCCCGGCCCAGGTGAGCATGAACACAGGCAGCGAGGTAGGTCACTGCCCGCTCCGGTCACATTCTTTTCATTCTCCAACCTCCAGCTCTGTCACAGAAACTGAGTCACAAACACACCTGGATATTTGTCTCTCTCTCCTTTTTTTAATCGGTTGTATTTTAAGTAGCTTTGAAATACATTTTTCTCCAAAATGTTGTTTTTCCTGTATATTATTCGATCACAATGATATTTGGCTGGTCTTTCCTCTGATGCACGCCCAGTCCTGATGTCGACACAGCGGAAAAGTCTGCTCAGGCTGAGAGAAGGGCAGGACTGCAACAGGGAGAAGGTGTAAAAAATACAAAAGACCAGGCAAGGATGCTTTCAGTTGCAATCCTGCAGCCAACGGCTCAACGATCCGCAGGCTGGCAACGCACGTACGGGTGCTGGTCACGTCGGAGTCTGGTGCCCAGAGCTCACAGCATGCCTGTGCTCGGCATGCAGGAGGGCTTGGACAAGCCCAGCCTGCCCTGGGGTGAAACGGGACGGCTCAGCACAGCAGCCTCCGGAGAGCTTACCCTGTAGTTTTCCTCAAAATCATGCATAACGTCTCGTTGAGCTGAAACGTCCATTTATTTAACAGCAGTAATAATTTAAAATTATAAAAACCCTTACAGTGTTGAGTATCAGAAGGGCGAGGTTATAAAGAAAAATAAATGGGACTTGAGATGGGGAAGGGAAGGATAATGGGGTCTATTTCAAGAGTTCATTTTTTCAGTGACAACTATTGGCCCTCCCCAGCTGGAGATCCTGGGAGGGAGGCAGTATCATTATGCTTTCATTTTAAAGACTTCAATCTCCAAAGCAGAAGAGATAGTATCCAAGGGGAGGAGGAGGAGCAAAAGAAATAAAGGAAGGAATCTCAAATTCAAAACCATACAAACAACCTTTCCATTCAGAATTGCAACCGCTAGCTCAGCGCCTCGGGTTTCCCATCTGTGGAGCGCAGCAGCCTTTCACTGCAATGGTTAAAAGTCCACGCGGCAAATGGATGTTTTTATTAATAGACAGAGCTCTTTCCCCCCATCACAGAACTTGAGGCTTCTCATCTCTGAAGGACCCAGAGTCTCCGTGTCTTCAGAACTCAAAAGGGAATTCTGGGGGCGCTGCTTCCCCCTTGCTACCCTCCCCTCGCTCTGCTCTGGAAGCCCCTTTCGTTGCTTACGTTGGCTGGGGAGGGAGGAAGGACAATGGACAGGGCCCCAGGGACAGAGGGTTGGATTAAGATTCATGAGTTGTTCGATGAGTTTTCGTTACTTGGTGAGCTGGAGGAAGAGGAGGAAGAGGATGATGAGAAGTTCATCCCCGTGAGTCCTGGGGGGTTTGTGGCAGTGTTTTGTCCACTTAAGCTTTTCCGGCACACAGGACACGTGTCATGCTTTGGAGAGCAGACAAAAACAAAACAAGAAATATGGGAAACAGGATTAGAAACACGATACAGGAGCAGCACTCAAGGAAAAGGCTAGGATGACACTCCTTCCTCTGATCAAAGGCTGCTCGTGCTTAGGCCTCATCATGGAGGTATGAAAATATTTACAGAGGAGAACAGTACCACCAGAAAAAACACCCACGTGCTACAAAACCCAAGTCACCCACTCAGACGGCACTAACCTGTTCCAGCCAAGGGACTATACAGCTGTTGTGGAATAGGTGATTGCAAGGTAACTGTCGGACATTTTCACCGACTGTATAGTCTTCTTTACACACAGGACACTCTAACCCAGAATCTGTATCATAAAAGGAACGCAAAACACAGCTAAGCAATAAAGGAGAGAACGACACTCAAAGCACCCGACTCGGGATCCCATCACCTTTTCCCCTTCCCCCCACCGCTGCTTCACCCCTGCAGAGAGGAAAGCTTGTTGCTTTGCAGTTCCTACCACCATCACTCCACCTCTCACTGCCCTGGGTTTGCTTCATTGTTCCCTTCCCTTCTGCTTTTTTCATCTCTATCCACACTGAACTTTTCAGAACAGTTTGCCTCCCCAGGGCAAATCCATCCAGTCCACACTGCTCTTTTTTTTGTGAGTATAACAGAGCAGTACTTCAGCTTTCTCCCCTCTTTGAAATGTTTTAGGCCTTGAAGGTACTAGCAGATAAAATTAAAATCCCAAGAAAACGTTAAACAGAACTTTCACAGAGCTCTTTGTGAAGGATTCCCTGGAGATATACATACCTACGTGTTCCTGTGCGATCTGTATGGTGGGGAGGGCCTGGATCTTTTCTTTGTCTGCTGGCGGCGGTCCAGTGTTTTCAAACTGATTTAGTAACTGAAAAAACAATAGGCCACAGAAGGCAGAAAGAAGATGTGAGCTCAGCAGCACACAGAATCTGTTCATTTATTGATCCAGGGCGCTTGAACCCTGCATCGCCTGCACTGCGGACCTTGTCTCCCATTTCTGCACCTTCAGTGGTTTGCCCCCCTGCATCACAACAACTGCTGGCAATTTTGCAGCACTGCACAAGAGGATGGGAGACTCCATTATAATGCAAATTTTACCTGTGTAATAATTGCATCCAAGCCGTTGGCACCCCATGCGTAGTCCATTGGATTTGAATGCAAGACTCCCCTTTAAGAATAAGGACAACAATTAAATTCGTCTGGGAGCACGAACAAGAACACTGTCAGAAAGAGCAGCACATCTTCCAACTCACCAAGGACCTAGTCCTAGGTTCGGTATTGTTGTAGGTGCAATAATTCCATTGACCAGCTGCTGGATAATTCTGAAAGACAAGAAAACCAGGATCCTGTAAGAATTAGTGTCTGCTAACTCCCAGCCCAGAAACATGACGTGGAAGGAGTGGCTAAATACTGTCGCATCATCAGAGGGAAAAGGAAAAATATCCTGTAGCAATTGCAATGGCATCTTATGAACTGATTATTCATCGATAAAGAGAAGTTTCAATATTTTATTCGTAAGGGGATAATTTCTGACAAAGATGGCACGTGGCTCTCCAGGATGCAGTTAAAGAAACATTAGTCTTGTTGTCCAGTGTTTTCTCTCGTTTCCCCTCGCACTCAGTACAACATTTTGGTAATACCTGGTAATGACCAGGGAACGCTTTCTCATTGCAGGTTTAACGGTCAAAGCTCCCAGCCACGCTGTAGTCCATGCCACTGTGCTCAGGTGAAACGGCCCCTATAAACTCAAGGCAAGAGCTTGCCAACAGCTGCAGGCCCAGCTGAAGCCTGACCATCCAGCAGCGCGAGTTCACAGGGGCAAAGCTGGACACCTACGGAAGAGTCGCACTGGACAGCTGTGCTCAGGAGCAGTCTTTAAGAGACTCGAACTGATGAGAACAAGGGACGGGCTGATCTTCAGCTAACTCTCATCAGTGAAAACTAACGGGGCTTCCTCCACGAGGACCTGGCAGTTGTTCTCACCCTTCTAGTGTGGGAACTCCCTCGTGCCTGCCAGCGGCACGGCGTGTGGCGAGACGGGCTCGGGGCTGCCTTGCGCCGTATCGATGCCGAGACTGATGCTCTCGCTCCCTCCGGTTCTCAGAGTCCCTGTTGTCTTCCGACTGCACATTGGACCCGAATGGAAACTCAAAGCTGTCATCAAAGATCCCGAAGGCAAATTGGCCGTAGCCCTGTGGCAAGGTGAACAAGTGCTGATCCACGTTCTGGGAGGGAGAGAATTCAGGGAACAGATTGTAACGAGGAGAGAAACAGCTCAGCTTTCACGCCTGGTATTTCACCAGCCTTCCAACAAAGACTAGTCTCTTCAGATCCCCAGCAACTCACAAGCCTCGGCTGACACAGGTGGATCAGTGCACTCTCAGAGGCAGCTTAGTGAGGAACAGACACAGACTGAAACCACGTATGAAGGTAAGAAGTAACTACAACTTCCCTGGTTCTCTTTAGCTGCTGCATGCAACTGCTGCCTTTTAAGTTGAGGCTACTGCATAGCAACACACCCAGACAGCTCACTAAATCCTAGCTGAGCCCCCTCACACAGGAATAAGCTACAAGTCATGGTCCTATTAAAAACATGCAGTAAAAATACGACATGCAGAGATTTCAGGAGCAGCATGTGGATGATATTAATACCTCCTTTCCCAAATTTTGCCATAATCCAGGGAACATTTAAACAATGTACTAATGGAAAAAGACTTCAATTCAATGGCAAAGCAGGAAGTGTTGGAAGACAGAGGCAGGCCTTACCTCAAAAGGATGCCTGCTCTGATCACTGGCTGACGTAGAGGAGCTGGTCTCATTGTCAGCGTTCCTGTGAAGAATGAAGAGCACTGGTAAGCCTCAGAAGCGTGCTACCAAAAGATTTTCCCAGCAGAGGGGAGCGAGGGGCATGAGTTTGACAGGAAAAGCAGACACCACAGCTGCACCGTAACAGCACACAGGAAGTGACCGATTCATTTTTGTGCTGAGCCACAGCTCGAAGGGACCTCAGAGGTCTGCTCACCTTCCCTTCTGCCCCGGCGCAGGGTCAGCTCCACACAGAAACTAGTCTGCCCTCAGCTGCTGTTTTTCTAACCGTTCGTATCGATTTTCATTTTTCCCCTCCCTGCAACCTTCATTTTCCCAGACCTTCACCCATCTCTCCCCACCCTTTCAAATTCTGATTTCATGAAGCTACAGAGAAGTGACTGAACCATGACGTCAAGCAAGGATTCCCTGCACAATCCACCTCAAACAAATCAGCTAATCCTCTGGAGCACCAGGAAGAGAAGACTTAAGGTACAAACCCTGATCGCTATGACCCAAACATGCTTAAGTCTAATCTTGAATCAAAGGAACTTCCCTATTGCAGAGGCATGTGACCAAATGGGACAGATTATTAGGAAAACTCTTAATGCTGTTAGGCTTCTGCTTTTAGAGAGCTGCAGGAACATTTACTGCTCAGTATCCAGGTCTACGCTTTGACATTCATGGTAACAAAAAACTAAGGTTCAGCGATTACGCGACTATCCCAAGGTCACAGCAAATCACCAATACAGTCAGGATTAGCCAGGATTGATTTTCAGCCTCTAAGGTTGGCGTAGTCAGACCAAACGTCACCTTGACAGTACAGAAACCTCAGTCTGTAAAGATGACCTCTCTCGGCAGGCAGCAACACGCGTCTGGCACACCCCCCATGCAGCACAGCGTGCCCTTGCACTGAACGCCTGCCAGCACGCTGCCTGTCCCAAAGCCAGTCGCAGCCAAGGTCCGGCGAACGAGTCTGAAACATTTTAAGACGTTACTCCTGCTCTTGCCCGTTCTGACACCGCCAGAGAGCAGTCCCACTACTGAGTCAGCAGTAAAGCACGTGAACGCAGATCCAGCTGCTCCGGTGCAGAGTCCAAAGTCTTAGTCAAAATGTTTCGCCGTTAGTACTCTAGACTAAGTTATTAAATTATACACTGAAGCATACATACACTCTCCATTCTGCAGATTCCTCTCTCACAGGGTTATCTCTACCCTGATGACTCAAACCAGTTCAGAACTACCACAACCCATTCCTCCCCCACCCTCTACCAGCAATGTATGACACTCAGCGTTCCCATGGCTGATTTACCTGTAGATGCAAACTATGCAAATTAAGCACTCTCTACCCATAGTGAGGAAAGATGAGCCAAATATTGGGCAGAAGTAGTAAAAATGGTGTATTTAGTATCCAACATTGCCTTTTAACTAGAAAAAGAGCAAAAGAGACTGAGTTCATTCCAGCAATAGCCTTTGGGGCAGCACGTTACCTTGGCTCTTCGGGAAGTTCTTCAATAAAACCAGATTCACACCGTGGGCAAATATAGTCCTACGGGAGAAGAAATACTGAATGAGAAAAGAAAGTGGTACATAAAAGCTGCAAAGAGTGCCTTCAGCGTGATGGGGTGGAAGAGTCCTGCAGCCCATCGTCCCAAACGCATGCCACGATTACAGAGCCAAAAAGACCCCGAACCACTGATATTTGCCTTCACCAGACTAGTAAGGCAAATTGTTAAGCCTGAGCCTGTTTGGAACTTGGCTTTAGAAAAGATTTGGATAACACTAATTAATCCCCAGTATAGACAAAGCATTAGATAACATCTGATGTACTTCTGGGTGAAGTGAAAGCAAAACCACCGGCCTTCCCAAAAGAGCAGCACTCAAACACTAGTTTTTAAATAGCTGCGTGTTTTGGGGGCCTTCCCCCGCCCCCCTCAAGGGGCCAAACTGTCCTAATGAAAGGAACAAGGAGGGAATTGCAGCACGGGCTAATCACAGTGTCACTGTCACTTAGGAAGGGCTGAATGGAAAGCTGTTACTAATGTAGTCTGGGGTTCACGCCACACAGAGGTCAAGGAGACACAAGAGGGTCATTCTGCAACACACAATACCAGAATTTTACACTCCCACGCTCAACGCTCGTTAAAGAAAGCTACTGCCACCCTTGTAGCCTTTAACACTGAAGACTGAATACGCTGGAATAAACAGCCCGCGTGTGCAGAAGCAGATTCCTCAGGAGTTTGCAACAGTCACTTTTCCTCACAATTCCTGGTGTTAGTGAAGAATTTATACTCCACAACCACGCTGTCCTAGCGAGCAGCAGCCCAGAACGCTTAAGATCCTGAAAGGAAATTACTTCACCTTTCAGCGCTTGAGAAGAAGTAGCACCACGCAGCACCGTCGAGACAGAAGAGGAAGCAACAGACCCCGTACCCAACCCCAACCACAGCCGAGGCGGAACAGCCACCGCGGGCAAACACAACCGCTCAAAACCCCGCGCTGGCAAAGCCAGGCTCAGCATGAAAGAAATTTAAGAGCTTCTAAAAATAATGCTACTTCCCTTTACTACTGCTACGTTCGAATTGGCAGAGGCCCTTAAACAAGTCAATGGATTCCCCAAAAGAGGAGAGGATGCCAGCCACGTGGATTTGCTCTGATAAGACATCTGGGATCGCTCCTCCAGCCACCGCAGAAAAACTTGATAAGGCCCAAGCACAAGGCAGCAACACCAGCAATCCACTCAACCCTGCCCCTGACTGCCCAGCAAGATAAGGAAGCAGCAAACACCAAGACCTAGAAACAGACTCAGAGAAGTTGCTGCTCCCTCTTCTGCGCAGGACTCTCTAGATTTGCGATTGTGAAATAACTGGGTCTACGCAATTTACACAACGTTTGATTTCAAGGCCATTTCTACACCATCCAAATTCTTCTCAAAGCTGGTTACCAGCACATGGGAACTCCTGTGTCGAACACCGAAAATCAGACCAATTGCCTCTGCCTTTGAAATATCCCCTTGCTGTTTTACTTTCCACCAGTATGCCACTGGGGTAAATTATTACGGCAGACACAGTCAAGAGCAGTGAGCAACTTACTCCTCGACTCCCCTACCTAAGGGAGGCTTTTTTTTCTCCTGTGTGCTTACAGGCAACTCTGAACACAGGGATCAGCAAATTCCTCAGCAGCTGGAACAGCACAAATGTCAAAGTTTGTTGTTTCTCAGGCTGTTTGAATCACTCCTTTTGCAGCACATGCTACGGTACCTCCAGTAGCTCGGTCTGCAAAGAGTAAGTGAAACCGAATGAACTTGGACCCCCCAAACCAAGTTCATTAACTAGCAATTAACTAGACCTGAATCAACAAAAGCAGCTGTCCGCTCCCTACCACAGTTCAGTGCGTCCGCTGCCAGATGTGCTCTGCTGGCACAAGCCCAACATGTGGTGTTTAAACGGAAAAAAAAATGACTGATATTTCTAGGTTATAACCTTCAGCTCCCGAGCCGCTTTCTCCAGCCCGTCTATGTATTTAGCAGGAGCATTATCAAGAGTTTTGTCCTCACAGTTAAATACAAGCTGTGAGATTTACCAGTAAGGCCTACCCTCGCCTAACCAGTAAGACCGACGGAGAGGGCGAAAGGACAAACAGCGCGTCACAAAACCAAACTGACGGCGAAGTCTAATCAACCATGGCAGAGAGACACCTATGCTCACAGTCGGGTGACTTTTAAAATTCAATAAACATTAACAAAAAGCAATGCCTTATTCTGACAAGACGCTGTGAAAAGTTTCAGGACAAATAGAGACTGGCAGGATCCTCCAAATCGAATTTAACATCTCGCAACATCTGGCTGGCGATCAACAGAAAACCTAGCCGTGGCCCACCACGATGTTTTAGCCAGTTCCTTTCCAACAGCCAACGCTCCTTTTCCACCCACACCAGAAAAATATGACTCCCTACAAGCAGGGGTTTTACTCGGCGATTAACGCACGTCTGCTCAGGCGCTGCACCTAGCCGACAAAGCACTTGTGCGTTAGCGAGTGGAAACGGTGCGTGCGTATCATTTGTGCACTTGCCCACGTCCTAGATATTATCACCCCTGAAGCTTTCCTCATGCTCATTTAAATCCTACTGAAAGAGACAAAATAGAAACCCCCTCATTATCCCACGGAGCTTCAGTTCGCTCCGGACAAAGAAGCGGGTTAATGGTGCCTGAGCCCGGGGGGATGTCACGCCATTTCAGAGAGACGGGGGTGCGGAAAGCCCGGGGATGGGCCGGGGAAGGGCTGCTGCAGGTCGGGACCACCGTCCTCAAACCCGCTCTGAGGCAGGGCTGCTCAGCGGGTCCCCCTCTCCTCACAGCACGGCTGGAGCTCACGAACCACCGCGGCCC